GGACGATGCAGTGCATGCACTGATCTCATGCTTCTTGTTCTTGACATGAGAGCAGTACCCCAGCGGAGTGAAGAAAATAAATAAAACTCACGAGAGTCACTCCTCAGTTTAAACTGTGTTTTGTTTCAATTCATGTATAATTTAGTTACAAATATGTGATATATCTGAACAACAAAGTGGTCAGATTTTATTCATTTATTGGAAACATTTTCTTGATCACTTTTTTCATTTTACATTTTCATTTATTGTTATTTCCATTCAGTCAGTCATTAAGTGCTATTAAAATGTTAATGTGCTACATATCCACACAAACAAACAAAGTGTGCAATCCAATGAATGTTAATCTAACTGGGTTTTGATAGATAATATATCTCTTTTTCTTCTCTCAATTATTTTATTTATATTGTGCACTCTATCAATATGAATCAAATTATTGTTCGTTTATACATTTTAAGAATGGCGTTTATCTTTTTTGAGAATGAGTTCTTATTTTATTTTATTTATTGGGGTCTACAACAGATGATACAAATGTTTGTGTCAGTAAATGTGTGGCAGGTGTGTTTTTGAAAATAACGGGGACAGAGCTGCTGTCAGACGAACAGCTGTGCGGCGTCATCACAAACGGACGTCGCTTCACGTGACGCTCCGGAGGAAAGGACGTCCCATTGCTCTTATAACTAATTTCCCTGCTTCTCGTGGTTTCATTGCGTCTCTCGATGCTTCCCTGGTGGGAGGGACTAAACGCAGGGAAAGGACGCAAGTGAGGGACGCAAGGATTCCATTTAATCGACCTGAGATGCAGCCTGAGAAACACCCACGGTGTGTGTTCTCAGTGTGTGGCCTTCTGGCCGAACCTCTAACCACAAACATAGGTTCCTACCTTTATACCCACAGTGTTAATTGGCTCCTACAAATGTTTCATTTTCTGAAATAAATTACAAAAAAAAGGTTCTATGTTATAGTAATTGTTTGAGATGCACCTGTAGATTCAGCTTTAGCATCTAACCAGATGGCAAAGAAGCAGTTAAGTGCAGTGTAATATTGCATATTAAAACTAAGAATCCATATTACTATTTGACAGAATTTTTTTAAGTCTGGTGTAAATTAAGGCTATAACTTTTTTTTAAAGTGTCACACGTACAGTGTTCTGAGTTTTTCTTTGTTATCAGCTAAGGGATGCCTGCTACGGAAGAGGATTAGGGCCACATGATTTATTTTTTGGGAGGATTTGAAAAAAAAAACGTTCTGACTTTAATCTCAGAATTCTGACTTTTTTTTCAAATCCCTGGCCCTAATCCACCTCCGTAGTTTGCAGCTAAAGCATTTACAACACATTTTTTTCATTGCCAACAGGTCTCATTTGTTATGTAAAATCTGTTCATCACATTGACCTTTTTTGTTTTACCACCACTAGGTTTTCCATGTGCCGCTAGAGGAGCGCAAGTACAAGGACCTCAACCAGTTTGGGGAAGGAGACCAAGCGAAGGTCTGTGTTGACATCATGCATAAGACCGGAGCCCACCTGGAACTCTCCTTGGCTAAAGATCAGGGTCTCTCCATCATGGTTTCCGGAAAGCTGGATGCCGTGATGAAGGCCCGCAAGGAGATTGTGTCCCGACTGCAGACTCAGGTCAAGAGATCCGTCTTTTTGTTGTTTATGATAGAAAATTGTGTTCATAGTTAAAGAAATGATGCCAACTGTATATTCTAACCCTAACAGGCCTCGGCTACTGTTGCCATCCCCAAGGAGCACCATCGTTTTGTCATCGGCAAAAATGGGGAGAAGCTTCAAGAGCTCGAGCTCAAAACTGCCACCAAAATCCAGATCCCACGACCCGACGACCCCAGTAACCAGATCAAGATCTCTGGTACCAAGGAGGGCCTGGAGAAGGCAAAGCATGAGATCCTATTAATCTCTGCCGAGCAGGTAATGTGTCTCCACTGACATGTGTTCCAGATATCGCAGCTTTTAGGAGAAATATTAATCGTTTCCCCCTGCCCCTTTTACTCTTACAGGACAAGCGTGCTGTGGAGAGAGTGAACATTGACAAGGTGTACCACCCATTCATCACCGGTCCCTACAACAAGCAGGTAGGAGAGATGATGCAGGAGACCGGAGCCCGTGTTAATGTCCCCCCTCCCAGCGTCAACAAGACGGAGATTGTCATCACTGGGGAGAAAGAGCAGGTGGCCCTTGCTGTGACTATGATCAAGAAGATTTATGAAGAAAAGGTAAGCCAAAAACTAAACGATTACAAGTAAACCTTTTGTAATACTAAGGTTGAAATAATTTTTTTAATCTAGTCTTTATTTTAGATATGACAGTTTTTAAGAAAACCTATTTATATGTTTTACAGTACTTTTTTTAAAGACTCATGTCTAGTTTGTTGTTACATATACTAGGGCTGCAACAAACGACTAACTTGATAATCGAATAATCTATCGATTAATGAAACGATTAATCGATTATTCGGATCGTTAAGGTTTTAACTGTACTACTACTTTTATATTGCTTATCGATCCGGTCCTTTAACGATACTCTTAACGGTTCTTTAAAAAAGAAAAAAGGTAAATTAACTAAACAAATTGTCAACAAAATTAACATTGCTTTTTATTTAAATTAAATAAATAATATTTCACATAAAAAGAAGCGACAGTGTTTTAACAAATCGTATTAAATAATGTGATGACAGAACTGTGAACAGAATAGCTGAAACTTTAACAAAATAAATAACTCAGTTACCTCATGTTTGTATAATTGAGTTAACTCCGTGTGTTGCTGCTAGCATACATTACATACCTGACGTGGAAAAGTTGGTCGTGGATGGGGCTACAGAGCTACTAGAAAGACAGTCGAACCCGGTGCATTTCTCCGTCTGAATGTGGTGCACTTTTGCTAAATGTTTCGCCAAAATGCTCGTGTTACCGCCCTCACATGCTAAACTCTTATTGCACTTTTGGCAACGAGCATTGTACACCTCAAGATGGGTAAAGTGTAACCACGCCTTGGAGCGCTTTTCTCCGCCATCTCCGCCGTGTGTGTGTTGCATGCATGTAGCAGCCGTGTGTGTGTAGCATGCATGTAGCAGCCGTGTGTGTGTGTGTAAATTGCCCCGCCCCCTCGCACACAGACGGGGGGGAGAGAGAGAGATCTCGTCTGGATTGGAAAGATCGAAA